TCTGGGTGACTGCGTTTCGAACGTACGTTGAGTTTGGTTGTCGCGCAAGTGGCTCAGTAGTGCCAGTCTGGCGCCAAACGTTGTGTGGCAAGCTGGGCATATTCCACTGGCTGGTTCGTGAAACCGCTGGGGGTAGCGCTCCCCAGTTTTAAGTTGTCTCGGTTGGGCATGTTGCTTGGCAGTGGCGAGCGCCACCTGGCACTGTACACGCATGGGGTGTGGAATCTCTGCGCGTCGCTGGGATCAGCCCGGACGTCGCAGATCGGTTCGATGAGATGGAGCATCGCGATACATTGCCTCCAGCGGAGCGGGTACGCCAACTCAAAGCTGCTCCAGACCAATGGGTCGACATCTGGATCCAGCAGCTCAGCGCACATAATAACACTCAGGCGCAGACGCCAGAAGCCGTCGACAATACGATCAAGCCAACCCAGCCTTTTCCCTCTGCGAGCGTTGCCGCAAAAGCGCAAGGAGGGCGGGGGACCGCGACCAGAGCAGCCGGTCGAGGTAGCGGAGACGAGCTCTAGCCGACATTCGATCAATCGACGGCACGCTACTGCTCCCCCTCAGCTCGAGATCGCTCTCCTCCCCTGGGCTGGCCCGCACGGCGTCGTGCATGCGTCGGTGTCCGCGCCCTTGCAGACATCGTCGAGGATGGAAGGCGCGAGGAGGAGGAGGAGGATGAGGAGGAGGAGCAGGAGGAGGAGGAGGAGGAGGAGGAGGAGGAGGAGGAGGAGGAGGAGGAGGAGGAGGAGGAGGAGGAGGAGGAGGAGGAGGAGGAGGAGGAGGAGGAGGAGGAGGAGGAGGAGGAGGAGGAGGAGCAGGAGGAGGAGGAGGAGGAGGAGGAGGAGGAGAAGAGGAGGAAGGAGATGGAGAGGAGGAGGATGAGGAGGAGGAGGAGAGAGGAGGAGGGAGGAGGAGGGAGGAGGAGGAGGAGGGGAGGAGGAGGAGGAGGAGGTGCAGGAGGAGGAGGAGGAGGAGGAGGAGGATGAGGAGGAGGAGGAGGAGGAGGAGAGGAGGTGGAGAGAAGGCAGGAGGAGGAGGAGGGAGGAGGAGGAGTAGGAGGAGGAGGAGGGGGAGGAGGAGGAGGAGGAGGAGGAGGAGGAGAGGAGGAGGAGGAGGAGGAAGGGAGGGAGGAGGAGGAGGAGTGCAGGAGGAGGAGGGAGGAGGAGGAAGGAGGGAGGGAGGAGGAGGAGGAGGAGGAGGAGGAGGTAGGAGGAGGAGGAGGAGGAGGAGGAGGATGGAGATGGAGGAGGAGGAGGAGGAGGAGGAGGAGGAGGAGGAGGAGGAGGAGTCAGGAGGAGGGAGGTGCAGGAGGAGGAGGAGGAGGAGGAGAGGAGGAGGGGAGGAGGAGGAGGAGGAGGAGAAGGAGGAGGAGGAGGAGGAGGAGGAGGAGAAGGAGGAGGAGTGAGGAGGAGGAGGAGGAGGAGGAGGAGGAGGAGGAGGAGGAGGAGAGGGGAAAAGGAGGAGGAGGAGGAGGAGGAGGAGAGGAGGAGGAGGAGGAGGAGGAAGGAGGAGGAGGAGGAGGAGTGAGGAGGAGAAGGAGGAGGAGAGAGGAGGAGGAGGAGGAGAGGAGGAGAGGAGGAGGAGGAGCAGGAGGAGGACAGACCTCGTCGAGGATGGAATGCGCAGGTCACCGCCGCTCGTCAGCCCCTCCCGGCCCGGGCGAGGCGCCCATCGTCATACACCTGAAGCTGGAGCGTTGTGCCGCCCAGCTGTCCGAGGACATGGGAGGCCCCCTGCGTACCCTACCCCGACCCTCTTCGTCACTCCTCCTCCTCCTCCTCTCCTCCTCCTCCTTCCCCTCCTCCTCCTCCCGCCCTACCGCCCCACCACCCGCGATTTCTAAGGGGGGAGGTGGGGTTCACTTCGCTCGGGACCTCCCGAGCGAAGTGACCCCCCCCTCCCTTACCCTTAGAAGTCTTGGGGTGGTGGGCCGGGGCTCGCACGGGACCTCCGAGGACAGCCACTACCGCAACCAGTTCCAGATCTGTGGCAGCGGCGGCACCTACGACAACAGGAGCGCCGCCGCCACGAGCGCCGAAGGGGGGGGGAGCCCGTTTCCTGGAGGCCCTCTCCAAGAGGCGTTTTGAGAAGCAGAGTGTGGGGGCCGAGGCTTACGTCGGGCATGTCCCTATGCAGGAGGAATATGAAAGCACATTCAAACACAGTCTGGGGACGACTTGTTGACCGTTTCTGACTATGTTTGAGCATGTTGGCTGACTACGTTTTGTATGTTTCCTCCCAGATCCGCCTGTAGGAGGACATGCCCGACCTAGGCCGGATCGTCTCACGCAGTCCCCTGGGGCGTCGCTGTAGTTCGGTTCCGCGGCACGGATTGTCGGTGTCGTTGCTGTCTTTGTCGTCGCCCCTCGACCCACCCCACGACCCAGCAGCGCCGCGACCCAGCCGCGTCGCGACCCAATCGCGACCCATCCGCGCTGGGACCCACCCGCGCCCTGTCACTCTTGTCTGCAACTGCGGGGGACTAGGTATCAAGACGGGCAGCATCGGTTCGACGGTCTCGGCATCTGAAAGGCCGTCCCGGGCCCCGGGATTTTCAAACGTGGATCCCGGACAGAGAAGTGGTCCCCGGGAGGGGGTCGATCGAGAGCTAGGGACCCGCATGGAAAGTCGGCGGCGAGCCCGGCGGGGAAGCGAGACGTGGCGGGCCTTCTCAGAAGACTCTCGGGCCGGACGAAAGGGGGGGATTGGGAGAGGGGGGGTTACGAAATTTGCTGCGTGCAGCTGGTTCCGGCCTCACCGAGGGGCCCATTCCTCGATACATAGCCGCCTCCGGCGCCGGGAGGCGCCGGGAAAATCAGCTACGTGAGCTGATTCTCCCCCCCCCCCCATTGCTATCCCCCCCTTTTGCCCGATCCCCGAGACTCGGAAGTCCTCCGGCCTTCCGAGAAGTTTTCTGAGCCTTCCCCGGAGGCGCAGAACAGCTCGCAGAAGGACGGAGGCCTTCTGAGAAGCCTCGTGGCCTTCCGGGAAGGCCTTCTCCTTCTCGACCCCCTCCTCGCTCGCCGCCGAGACGTGGCAACAGAGAGCAGTTCGTAGGAGAAGTCTCGATGCTGAAGGAAAGAGGTCTCCTGAGCCTGTCCGCAGCTTGCGGCCACTCTGGGCCATCCCTCGAAGAAGAAAAAACGCTAAACTTCAACTTTTTGCGCTCCGCGCCGATTTCTTGGATTCGCGCTGGGGCCCCCCCTGGCGGCGCCTCCGGCGCCGACCCCCGCGCGCTCCGCGCGCCAGGGAGGGGGGGCCCCAGCGCGGATCCAAGAAATCCGCGCGGAGCGCCAACAGTTTATGCTTATAGTTTTTTCTTCATCTAAGCACGACCCCCCTACCTGGCGCGGATCCAAGAAATCCGCGCGGACCTCCGAAAGTTTATGTTTACACCCTGCTTGCCTCCAGGGTGCCCTGGGCTTCTTGGGCTTCGATGGCTTTGCTCTGGAGAGCGCCACGGTCCCACGCCAACAGTCAATAGACCGCCTGGGGTCTCAGGGTTCGGATTCTTTGTGGAAGGTTTCTTGCAGTCGAGCCCCTGCTGTCAGCGACGCCGCGCTTCGGCGCGACCACTCTGACCATCCCCCACTCCCAGGCGTCAACGTCCCGAGCCTTTCCCAGCCTCCCGCCGCGTGGAGAAGAGCGGCACGCGATCCGCTCGCAAGGCGTAACGTGTCGCCGGGGCCGCCGCCGCGACACGCTGAGCTTAAGTCGGGCCAGTCCCCCTACAGGGGGATTTTCAACGACAAATAAGAAATACCACCAAAATAGTCAAAAAATAATCCAAACATAGCCTGGGGACTATTTTTTGAATATTTTTTGACCTTTTTGGGTTATTTTTGGGGTCTTTTTAATTTTTCGTTGAAAATCCCCCTGTAGGGGTACACGCCCGACTTAACGCTGAGCAGGAGGCCCCGACCCTTGCGGGATGCGCTGTCCGCCGCGGCCTCTTTTTTGGGCTCCGCTCCGGCGGACTTGCTCCGGCGGACTTGCGCGCTTCGCTTCGCTTCGCTGCGCTTCGCTTCAATTCGCTTCGCTTCGCTTCTTTTTTGGGCTCTCACGGCCGCAGGAGCCGCATGGCGTGGGAGGACGACCTGTTCGGGTGCGCCTACAGGTCCTCGTCATCGCTGTCGTCGTTGTTGTCGCTGTCGTCGTCATCGTCGTCGTCGTCGTCGCCGCCGCCGCCGCTGCCGCCGCTGCCGCCGCCGCCGCCGCCGCTGCCGCCGCTGCTGCCGCCGCCGCCGCCGCCGCCGCCGCCGCCGTCGTCGTCGTCGTCGTCGTCGTCGTCGTCGTCGTCGTCGTCGTCGTCGTCTGACCCCTCCAGAGACCTATGGAGTCTCGCGTGGCCGATTCGATTCGAGTTCGAGCCCTTGCCGATGCATGCTTCGATCCGAAGCTCGGGTTCGCGCTCCGATGCTGATCGATCTTGCCAACAGGGGCGCCGCCCCCTTCGAGCGCTGCAAGTACGGCTCCATGAACGTGATCAACGACCCCCACGGCGTGAGGAAGTGCGCCCAGTACGGCTCTAGCTACCTGCTGCTGCGGGGCGCCCGGCTGCGCACCACGTTCTCGGCGCAGGACTCGGCGGGCCTGGACGCGCGGGACCTGGCGACGGTGGACTACTACGGCCACGTGTTCCTGAAGTACTCGGACGACGAGCTCAGGGGCGCCCTCATGGTGGCCAAGATGCAGGGCTCGGCCGGCATAGACTCCCGCGTCCTCTCCTCGTACAAGGAGGCGCAGGTCCACGGGGAGGTTCGCCTCTGCGAGCACGTCGAGATCATCGTGGCCCACCCGTGCATGCAGCAGACGCCGCACAGGCTGGACAGCCTGCGGGCGCTGGAGAGGCGCTGCCGCGCCCAGTCGGTGTGGATCGAGACCGGCGACGCCTCGGAGCCCCGGGACGCGCCGCGGGCATCCAGCGGGGAGCCTCTGGCGCGTGACGCCGGCTCGCCCGCCTCTGCGGGCGCCGGCGGCGCCGCGCGCCCACGGCGGAGCAGCGACGGCGTCGAAGATCTGGCGCCGCCCTGGCCCGCCCCCGCGGGGCCCTCGTGCGCCCCCGCCCAGCCCGCCCGTCGTCTCCGTGGGCCCCGCCCGTCGTCTCGGTGGGTCGAGCGTGCAGTGGAGGAACCATGCCAAGGAGCACCCTGCTTGCCCCCAAATGGTGCCCTTGGCTTCTTGGGCTTTTCGCTGGTTGTGCTGTGGAGGGCGTGACGTTCCCACACCACCAGGCAACGGACGTCCTGGGCCCTCCAGGTTGGGTTTCTTGTGGAAGGTTCCTTGTGGACTAGCCTCCACTAGCGCGGCGGGGCCCAGGGCGAGCCTGCGCCAGATCATCCCGCGAGCTCGGGGCTCGGACGCGGGCGCGCGAGGCCTCCGCCGGGGTTGGCCCAAACTCCGCAGAATGCCTCTGTAGACCTATAGGCCTCCCAGAGGGGGTCCGAGCAGGTGGGGTCGGAAGAACGCGCTGCATCGCCGGTGCATCGCCGAGGCAGTTCGATGTGGAGGCCGTTGTTCTCCACGCCGACGCCGCCGATGCATCGCCGATGCATGGCCGACGCATCGCCGACGCATGGCCGATGCATCGCCGATGCCTCGCCGATGCGGCGAGATCCCTCGACCCCAGCTACGCCGACCCCAACGGAGAGGCCTCTCGGGCCCCTGCCGTGCCCGGCCAGCGCCGTCCTGGACTCCCTGACGGCGCAGGCGCCCGCCTGGCCGAGGCCAGGAGGGCACCTCGAGGCACCGCGCCGGGGCCTCGGGCGGCCGCCGCCGGGCACGGTGGCGGTGAGTCTACGGGTGCATCCTGCGGGTGGAAGCGAGGCGCTCGCGGCGTACGGCGACCCGGGCCAGGCGGTCAGAGGAGGAAAAGGCACCCACGCCTCTACCCTCCGCTCGCTTTCTCTTTTTTGGGGGGCCTCCTGGGCGGCCCCCGGCACCACCGCTGGGTTCGCCCCGAAATCCTGGTCAGAACGCGCCCCGGGAGAGGTCTGGGGAGCACAGCGGAGACTCATGCCAAGAAATACCCTGCTTGCCTCGAGGGTGCCCTGGGTTTCGTGGGTTTCGATGGTTCTGCTGTGGAGAGCGCGACGTTCCCAGACCAAACATCGATGGACGTCCTAGAGCCTCAGGGTTGGGTCTCTTGTTAAAGGTTTCTTGTGGACCAGCCTCCACTGTCGGTGGTGTTTACGGTAGGCTCGTGCCGCGATGACGCGGCGGAGAACCCATAGCGGCGGGCGGTCCCTGCTGAACGACGCCGGCGGCCTGAAACGGGGGCCGACGTCGAACGGCCTGTGCTATCGGAGAGCCGCCGAGCTTTCCATGCCGAGCGATCCACGCGGGTTGGGCTTCTTGTGAAAGGTCTCTGGTGCTCGGACCCCTGCTGTGGTAGGGGAACAGAAAGTGGCATAAACATAAAAACTCGGAGGTCCGCGCGGATTTCTCGGATCCGCGCTGGACCCCCCTCCCTGGCGCGCGGAGCGCGCCAGGGGCGGCGCCGGAGGCGCCGCCGGGGGGCCCCGGCGCCGATCCGAGAAATCCGCGCGGACCTCCGAGTTTTTATGTTTATGCCACTTTTTGTTCCCCTATTCTGGGGGTCGGACCCCTGCTGTGGCGGGATCGGTGCCGTTTGGTTTCCGCAGGCGGGGTTCGAGCTGCTGGTGGTCATCCGGGGGGCCCTGGGCCCGCACGCGGCCCGCATCAACGGCAGCTACTGCGCCTCCGCGGAGCGCGGCCTGGGGGGGTCTCCAGGAAAGGGGTCTCGCCTGGGGCCTGGAGGAGGAGGAGGAGGAGTGGGAGGAGCAGGAGGAGGAGGAGGAGGAGGAGGAGGAGGAGGAGGAGGAGGAGGAGGAGGAAGCGGAGAAGGGAGGAGGGAGGGAGGGAGGGAGGGACGAGAAGGAGAAGGAGAAGGAGAAGGAGAAGGAGAAGGAGAAGGAGAAGGAGAAGGAGAAGGAGAAGGAATGCGATGGGAATGCTATGAAAGGGACAAATGTCCAGCATGCTCCCCAGGGTGGCGCAGGTACCACTTCTGCCACCTAGGAGCCATGACCCGACTGAGCTTTAGTCGGGGTCTCTAAAATGACCTCCCCTCGAGGTCAAACAAAAAAAACACGCAGCATGCCATCGCCGAGGCTATCCGTGCGCGGCAAGTGCGCTCCCGCCTCCGCCTCAAAAAGGGGAGGCACGCCTTGACCCTGATGGCAGCAACAACGCTCGCGGGCGACCACGCGCCACCACACGCGACGGCGGCGTCGGGGATCCACCCATCCGACACCTGGCCGCCGCCGCGGGCCCGGGCCCGGGCCCGGGGCTGGAGACCATGCTCCGGAGACCATGCTCCGCCCCTGCCCGCAGCCACCCCCCCCCCCCCCCGCCAAGCGGGTAGACAGGGGAATGACTGCTGAACCCCAGAGAGAGGAGGAGCCCAGAGAGGGGGGGGGGGCGAGGGCCCCGGAAGGGGGAGGGACCCCAAGTAGGACGAGCCGCAGGGACCCCGCGCCAGGGGGGCCTGGCAAACGGGGGGCATCCCGAGCCCGCCCCACCCAGAGCCCCACCCCCACCCAGGGACAGCCAAGCCGGAGAGCGAGGAGAGCCAAGGAGCCAAGGAGCGGAGGAGCGGGGCACAGTCCCCCCCCGCCGACCCCCCCCCAGGGGGGGTGGCTGCCGATCATCGGGCCGGCTACCCAGGGGGATTTCAGTTCCCCGAGGGACCTGGCGTGCCCCCCCCAGGCGCAGGTGCCCCCCCTCGGGGCAGGAGAAGGAGAAGGAGAAGGAGAAGGAGGGAGGGAGGAGAAGGAGGGAGGGAGGGAGGGAGGGAGGGAGGGAGGGAGGGAGCGAGAGAGAGGGAGGGAGGGAGGGAGGGAGGGAGGAGGATGAGGCCGAGAAGGAGGAGGCCGAGGAGGAGGAGGAGGAGGCCGAGGAGGAGGAGGAGGAGGCGGAGGAGGAGGAGGAGGAGGAGGAGGAGGAGGAGGAGGAGGAGGAGGAGGAGGAGAAGGAAAAGGTGGAAGACCAGCATCGGGTCTCTTCCCCAGGGGTGGAAGGCGGTGCGAGGCGTTGGCAGAGTCCAGCGGAAGCATAAAAAACAGGGGCGGGTCTTCGCCAGCGGAGGCGCCGTCGGAAGCCAGCGCCGAGCGGTGCCAAGCTGTTCGAGCTCAGGGCTTCCTGGAACTGCCAGCGACGTGCAGAATCGATGAAGAAAACACGGCGTACCCATCGGTCGTTGAAAGCAGGTATTTCTGGAGTCTCAGATGCCAGCCTGCTTTAAGCGCCTTCCTACTCCAATGATCGAGTGGCTGCCCCTTTTCTGTTCTCCTGAGGGGGCGGACGGAACCCCAATCTACTTTCAACGCCTTCCTGCTTCATGTTTCTACCTGCATCTTCCGACCAATGCGTACGCACAAACTTTTGGCGCACACTTTCTTGGATCCGCGCAGGGCCCCCCAGCGGCGCCTCCAGCGCCGCCTCTGGCGCGCCCCGCGCGCCTGGGAGGGGGGGGTCCTGGCGCGGATCCGAGAAATCCGCGCGGAGCGCCAAAAGGTTCCTGACATCGCTCGGACGTGTGCGTTTTTTCCTCGGCGAGGACCATCGAGGAACATCCTTGACCATGTGCCGAAAAAACCACGCACGAAACCGAACAAAGCACAGGGAATGGACGTCCGAGCGATGGCGAGGGTTATGTTTACGGCGTTTCCCTCATTTTGCAAATTTGGGGTCTGCCGCTCGGGCCTTCGCGACCAGGCTGCCTGCGTGGGGGCGCGGGAGCGCCCTCTCCTCCCCGTCGTGCCCCGCGCGGGCGCCTCGCGCGAGACACTGCGTGAGGGCTCGTGGTGCGTGAGGGCCCTGGGCTTCCTGCCGGTCCTGTGGGCGCACTGGCCGAGCCCCACCACATCGGGGATGCCGTGGTCGGCAGTCGGAGCGGACGCCGCAGGCTTGCCAAGGTCCTGGGGCCTGACAGCCTCGTGCTGCTTCGTGCCGCCCCGCGGAACGTGGTTGACGTCTGGCATGTGTCCACGCGCGCACATGCGTAGCCCAGGGACCACCAGCGTCTGAAAGTCAGGAGGGGAAGCAATACACAGACACAATCAATCGTCGATCCCCCGGAAAATTTTGGAAAATATGGGAAGTGTGGGGCGGAAGACGAGAATCCACAAGACATGAGAAAATAAGCTTGGGATTTGTGTGTATTTACTTCTGTGTCCCTGGACCCCTTCAGAAAGATCAAGGCCAGCTGGTCTTTTCACGGCGGTTGGCCTCTGCAGGAGCCCCGGTCTTCGGGGCCATCGCAGGACGGCCCTGGGCGGGAACACGCCGGCCCCCCGCAGTAGGGCCGGGAGCTTCGGACGGCCACGGGGGGAGCGAGGACTGCAGGACGGGTGGTGGTGGTGGTGGTGGGAATGAATGGTGACGACGTCGGCGGCGGGGACGATGGCGGCGACGACGACGGCGACACGGTATCCCCGCAGCCTCCCAGGCTTGGGGCCCGCCTCCGCGGGCCGCCCGGTCTTCACCAAGTGCGGCGGCGGCGCCCGCCTGCGCCGGGCTCTCGCCGCGGGCGAGGAGGGCGCGCCGCGCTGGTCGGTCGTGGGCACCGCCGCCGAGGACGTGGCACTTGGGCGCCGCACGGGGCATCGGAGGAGGAAGGGGTATCGAAGACGCCTGCGCGGGGAAAATCAGGAGGAGGAGGAGGAGGAGGAGGAGGAGGAGCAGCAGGAGGAGAGCAGCAGGAGGTCGGAGGAGGAAGACTTATCGAAGACGCCTACGGCGAATCACCGCCGCCCCCCTGCCTTTTTGGGAAGCGCCCCTGTGGCTGAGCGTTGTGGCAAGAACTCCGCCAAGCTATCGGACCATGTGCTCCCCCAGCCGTTGAGAAAACCCTTCAGGGGAAACTTGTGTGAGGATGGCGGGGGAGATGAGGATTAGGAGGAGGACGAGGAGGAGGAGGAGGAGGAGGAGGAGGAGGAGGAGGAGGAGGAGGAGGAGGAAGAGGAAGAGGAGGAGGAGGAGGAGGAGGAGGAGAAGGAGGAGGAGGAGGAGGAGAAGGAGGAGGAGGAGGAGGAAGATTTTTCCTTCTGTCCCTCGGCCCATCCCGCCGCCGCTCGATTGGTTGTGGGTGAGAGGCCGCTCGCGGCCCTCTCGGCCCAAGTTGGGGCGCTCGTGGCTCCGGAGACGTACGTGTGCGGGAAGCACAGGGGAACCGCGGGAGGCACGCCATGGGCCCTGGGATATTCATATCAAGGGAGGAACAACCACCCGGACTGGACAATTGGCGTTTACCAAACGGCCCTGGGCATTTACTGAACAGCTCTGCCCTGTTCGATCCCTTGTTTGGGCGCGTTCACTAGACGGCTTCGCGTGTCGGGGTGGTTCTTATCGGCGTGGATTTTCTGCCCTCTATCACGATTATTCAATCCTGAAGGTTGAAGACTGTGGCCTGGGGACACTCCTACTCGTGCTGACTCGTTGATTTCGTTGCTCTCTGCAGACTCCCGGGACTCAGGATGAAAGGCTGGTCCCAAGGAACGGGTCGAGACCTCAACGGGTCCACGTTTTGAAAAAGTCATGACGTCGGGGTTGTGGGAGAGCCCTCCTTGCCACGGTTGGATTCTCCTCGAAATCCTGGTCAGATAGTCTCCTGGGAGAGGTTCAGAGAGCATCGGAGAAGAAAACACAACACAACCCGAATGTTTCGGAGTTCCGCGTGGATTTTGGGGGGGATCGGAGCTGGGCCCCCCTTGGCGGCGCCACTGGCGCGCCCCTGGAGCGTTCCGCGCGCCGGGGAGGAGGGCTCAGCGCCGATCCAAGAAATCCGCGCGGAGCTCCGAAAGCTTATGCTTATGTCCTCTGCTCTTCTGGAGCAGTGGGGTCTTCTTTCTGCCAATCGGGGTCTTCTTTTTTTGCCCGATCGGTGTGGGAGGAGGAACGACCGATCGAGTCAAAGCTGTCCTCCTCCTCCTCCTCCTCCTCCTCATCCTCCTTCTCATCCTCCTTCTTTCTCCTCAAGCCATTTGGCCTGAGGTGATTCGGCCCACAGGGGGCCTGACTGTCTTGGGGACTCGGCCCACTTCAGAGCCAATCCCAGTACCTCCACGGGGTGCTTGAGGGATACCGGAGGCTGTCCTGACCACAGGTTCCGATCACGAAAGCTGAGAACATTCGCAATCTTTCTTGAGTCATGGGCAAGGCACGTGCGGCAGCCCGCACTTCGAGGCCTTGGTCCAAGTGTGCATTTTGTCAGACATGAGAGTACAATGACCGAGTGCTGCTGGCCGACTGCCGCTGCCGAGGTTGTACGAGGAAGGCTCACCTGTACAAGCCGCCCTCCCGCTCACCGAGCGTTGAGAGCAACAGGAGCGTCCGTTTCGCCACGGACCAGTCGGGAGGCGGCGGCGCTCGGCAGCAATTGCAGGCTGGCAGCAAGCCCGAGCTCGAGGTCGCGTCGCTTGTGACGCAGGCGCTCCAGCAGTGCAAGGACCCCGAGCTGCAGGCGGTGCCCAAGGCCCACAAGACGAGGCTGGAGGCTCAGCGGGCGGCGGCGACGCCGTCCGACGTCGACCAGGTCAAGAAGGCCGACAGCGCCTTCAAGGCGGCCAAGAACCGACACGAGTAGTTGGTACAGCAGGTGGAGAGGCTCCAGAAGCAGCTCACCACGGCGCAGGGCAAAGAGCAGGAGGCGGCCCTCGACCTCGCTCGTGCCGACGCCTCGCGCCGCGCGGCCACGGCAGCCCTGGCGAGGGCGGAGGGCTTCCAGGAACACGAAGCTACGGGCGAGACGCCCGAGCCTGAGGTCTTCGGCATGAAAATCAACACGGACATTTTCGCGACCTTCGAGACCTGGGACTACGAGGAGGCCGACAAGGCCTGCCTGCGCAAATTCCAGGAGGAGCTGAAGTCGTACCAGAGCACGTTCAAGCAGAGGAATGACGAGTGGCAGCAGTTCGTCGACCGTGCCAAAGAGGCGCAGGAGGAGGTCAAGGAACGCATCGCCAAGAAGCGAAAGGCCCATGATGGGCAAGCGGCTGGTGCGGAGGCGGCTGGCACAGCGGGCGCGGCCCAGGCGGCGGCAGCCCGCTTCTCCCAGGCGGGCTTCGCCGCGGCCCAGGGTGCCACGCCCGAGGACAGCCAGGCCGCGGCCACCAAGGGGAAGACCAAAGGCGATGGCACGCCCAGTGGTGGCATCCCTCGTGGCAAAGGCGGTGCGGTCTCTTGACTAGGGACCTCGACTACCATTGCGGCGGGCTGCTCACACGAGCAGCATCAGGGCGCCTGCAGTACCACCAGTTCTGCCATGGCTCCTTCGGGCGCTGCAAGCACGACTTGAATTTCGTCAGCTTCGGCATCGGGGGATGTCACCAGCACCATGGCCTCCGACGCCAACTCGGAGTCCACCAGAGTTTTCTTGAGCAGCGTCATCTGCTTGAGTGGGAAGGGGTGGGTACATCTTCAGATGGTTCGGGAACGTTCCAATTGCTTTGCATACTGTGAGAGCCATGTACTTCCGCACCAGTCCCGTAAGTGGCACACGCGGGCCAAGGAGCAGTCCATGCAGACTTACGTCAACGCCGCACGAGGCAAGTCTAAGTGGAAACGGCAACAGCGCGAGACTCCCAGTGGAGGTGGTGAGGCCTGTTTTCTGCAAGAATCATTTGCCTGTGCAGATTCTTGATGTTGCGCTGGCAGCCCGTGGCCTGCGAGCGGAGGCCAGTCCAGCTTTCGACGGGTTTCTGCCACTCGTCTTGCATTTAAAAGGTTTCTCGTTTGCCCTCATTGTGCTCTATGGCCACTCGGCCATCGGTTTCAGTTACAAGAACGTGCCAATGTTTCGTAAGTTAGCCAGCCTTCTCAATGTGATCAGAATCCCCTGGGCAGTTGCAGGCGGTTGGAACATGAGTCCGACGTCGCTCGCTCGAGCAGGGCTTCTTGAGCGCGTTGGAGGGCAATTTCTGCGTAGTTCGGCAGTAACCACTTGTCTTAGTCAAGGGTGCCAGGAGGTTCCCATCTAGACTCCCTTGTCGTGTGTCCTGCCGCGCGTCATTATGTTCGCAGTGCCAGTGCCAATAGTTGGTCCCTTGGAGGCCTCAAGTGGGACTCGACATTGAGCTCGTAGGTTCTGCTGGGCGGCAGCTTTTCATACGTTTCTTAGAGCTTCCTCCGAGGCCCCCCCCAGGTGTCACGGCTGAAGCGGGGGCCCACAGTTGGCTCCAATACTCAACAGAGCAAGGCTGAGCAGGCCCTCGCTCTCGCATTGTCCTGCGAGAAAAAGAACCATAATATTCTAGAATAGTCTGGGGGGGGGGGGGGTCTTGACACCAGCCGTCTGCAGGATGGGGAAGGCAGCCAGGGAGACCCAGGCGAGGGCGGCTTCGCCTCGGACTCCGCCAGCTGCCACCCCGACCGCGACTGGGGCGACATCTCCGAGGCCGACCCGCGGGCCGACGAGGCCAACTGATCAGGGCAGCCCGCGCAAGGGGATCGGGTTGCCGCTTCTCTTGGTCTGCCTGTTTCTGCCGCCTCAGTCAGTGTCGCAGAACCCCCCAACCCCTCGGCTACAGTCGAATTTGGAAGTCGGCGAGATGATAGCGAGCGAACCCTAGACCCCCGTACCGAGTCTCGTGACCCACAGGCCCAGGAGATGTCGTCCCAGGCGGTGAGTGCCGAGCCCTCTGCGCCCTTCTGCGTGCCCGTCTCTACCTGGTTGACCGCGAGGAAAGAGGTTGGGTTCATTCCTATGAAGGCTTGTGAGCCGGCGCCCGTGGTTGCACAATCCGTGGCATTTCCATTTCGGGTCGGAGATTCAGTCGAAGCTTCGACGCGCATTTCGGCTCTGTGTTGTAGCTGGGTGAGCACAGTCGAGACAGCTGTGCATTCTCATCGCCAGGCGAGTGCACCTTCGGTGTCGAGAGGGTAAGCCCTTCAGTTTAGAACTCGGCGTAGTTCAATTGGCGAAGCCTCTGCGGGCTACTCACGCACGTGATCAGGTAGCAGGCTGGTGGGCGCGTTTGGCGACTGCAGTTCGTGGCGCGCAGCGCTTCTCTGGTAAGCCCCAGGGCCAACGGCGGAACCAGAGCTACGTTGCAACCGTCGAGGAGTTGCGCCAGACCTGCCTATCGGAAGCGCACCGAGTGGTGCGTCAGAAGGGCCCTTTCTCCTGGACCAAGTGGCAGAGCATACTGACGGCGATCTGCGACACGGTCATCAGCGCCGGGCAGCTCTCCTCAGCAGTGGAGCTCGCAGATCGCGTGGATCGGCGGGCCCAGCAACGTGCAGTTCATCAATCTATTCAGAGCCTTCGCGACTGGTCCGAGACCGCTCCTGCTGCAGGCGCGCTGCACCTCGCCCTGCGCGAGGCCCCTATGCCTCAGGGGTGGGTCGACTCTGGGGAGTGCATTATGCGTCATCCCCGGGGCGTTCTGGAGCACAAAACTCACCAGTGGGAAACGCTCTGGGGGCCCGATGGGGCCTGCGACTGGCAGGCGACCCAGGATCTTCGGCGAAATTCGGCTCCTGGTCCAGGACAACCCCCATGCCAGCGATCATAATCGATGGGCCCAGGCAAGCCCTGAGACAGATGAAGCCGCCAGCAGCCATAGGAGTCGACAAGTTGAACTGTCAGGACTTGGATCGACTTCCTGACCCAGCTCTGGCTGGACTGGCGGCGCTCTACGCTCTACGTGAATATTATCAGGTATGGCCACGCCAGATCCTTGTCACCATTGGCACCCTTCCTCCCAAGAGGGTGCAGAGGGATGGGGTGCTTGGCCTGCTCTCGAACTTCGGCAGGACATGGTCCAAGGTGCGCGAGGGCCACGTTCGTCGGTGGACGGGCAGCTGCGAGGCAGAGGCAACGCTGCGGTCCGCGAGGTGTTCCTCAAGGCCATCGACGAGGAAGTAGCTAGCAGGCTCGGTGTATCAATGACAGCGCGGGCTGGCATCACATCGGCGCTGCTGCCCTACGACTTGGGTTTCCACCCGAGATCATTGGCCTAGAAATTCAGCAATGCGTGGCCACGAGGTGCGCCCGGCAAGCAGGCGCCTACGGCCCCCGTTCAACCCCGCGCGTTCAATCGTGAAGTGGCTCCGCTGGGGGGCGCGTTTCGGCAAACGCGCCGCGCTTTTCATCGTGGCCAAGATCGCCGCAGTCCATGTCAATATGTCGCACAGATTGTGGGCTGCTGATTTGAGCCAGTCAGCGAGGGGATCTAGCAAGCCCATGTGTCAACAGATGTTCGTATGCCTCAAGGACACCTTTCAAGGCATGAAGGACGCAGGGTTCGAGATCTCTCCCAAGAGTGTCATACTGTGTAGTAAGATGGAAGAGGCGCGCAACATTTCTCGCAGGCTGGCGGCATGCGGGCACCAGGTCAAGGCGGTCTGTCAGGCGGCCTACCTCGGGGCGGATCTCAGCGGGCGACGACGACGCGACAGAGCCACGCGGACAGCACGTGCAGCCAAGCACGCCAAGATGTCGACCAATATTGGCAGCTACGTGCGCGCTCTCCGACGCTACCGCCTCGCGGCTCGCCTTGAACAACAAGGTGCTGCCCCAGCTGGACTCTGCGGCCACCAGCTGCACGGCTTCTTCGGGGCCCAACTGGCAGCGGTGCGCAGGCGGCAGGCGTCGGCAGCGGCCCCACGGCTTACTGGACGATGTTACGACCTTCCTAGACTTAGTCACGCCGAACAGAGATCCCGCCTACCGCCTCCCGTCCCCTACGGATGTGGATAAGAGCGGGGATCTGTGAGCCTCAGGTTCGAGGGGGCATCGAACGCACCTGGCCATGGCTAGTTCGGGAGTTGTCCGCTAGACCCGAGGCCATCGATGTCCCCGATGATTTTTCTTCAGGAATTTCAGTCCTCAATGCAAACAGATCTCTGGCGGCGCAAGGCAGCTTTGCACTTCGGAGGCGCAGGGGTGGAAGACGGAGTCTGCAACCACAGTTACAGGCAGCTGCTGAAGCAGCTTGAACAAGCACCTGGAGGCAGGAGGCTCGCTGGCCAGTTGCTCGCGGCTGTAGCGGGCGCTTCCGAGCCTCGGGCAGGGCGACAAGCACGTTGCAAGCAGCAGATAACGGTCATGTGTGCACGGTGCAATCAGGAGGAAGAGACAAGTTGTCATAGAGTGTGGGGTTGTTCGGCGAAGGCCAACAGCCCAGCGCACCAAATCAGTGATCCGTCGGATTACGTATTCGGCCAAGGACTGCACCCAGGCTGAGGCGGGCGAGTGTTTCTGGACCAGAGGGCTCATCCCAACCAAGCTGATTGCAGTGGAGCCGTCTCCAGAACACGAAAGATGGTTTTCCAGGATGCGTCTACAGTCGCAGATATGGCCCCAGGGACTACTGAGAGACCATGGTTTTGCTTCGGCGATGCAAGTGGCGGGAAGGACACTCTGTCGCCCAGGCTACGTCGTGCGCATGGGACTTGCAGCGTACGACGAGCTGGGCGAGAACATGCAGATAGTCTGTGGTGTTTGGGCTGCGTGACCCGGCTTGAGGCAAACAGTATATCGTGGTGAGTTGCATTGTACCAGGACCGTACCAGGACACATGTACTATGTGACGGACCGTGCAGCAGTATGTTCAGGATGACACGAGCAGCAGTGGCGATCACCAACGGGCAACGACGCAGATCAGCGGTACTGTATCGGGCGCGAGCTGCACGGCAGGAGGGAGATCACCGTGATGTTCGTCAACTCCCACCTTGAGCTGTACCAGGCCTCGGCTCAGGACCCACGGTGCTTCGTCGTGGGCAATCGCGAGGCTGACCGCCTGGCCGCCTGCGGCGCCGAGCTGGCGCGCCTGGCGGAGGCCGCCCGAGGGAGAGTGAAACAAGTTGAGAGTATGGCCTTCGCCGTTACTTTGAGGATCCCTCAGAGCACCCTCGAGGCCATCAGTGCTGAGGAAGTTCTCGAGCGTGAGTCCAGGCAACAGCGTAGAGGGCGTCGCGCCGAGACCAGTGTTGTGGTGCCACCCGCGCCCATTGTTTGTGCCTTTTTTCGCTTCCCCCCATCAATCGGGCGAGAATGGTCGCTCGTGCACTAAGTGTCGTGGGCCTCCCACGCTCGGGAAAAGGTTTGGCTGGACTCACCGTGTTTTGACCTAATTAATGTGGGCGGCGGGGGGGTTGCTCACCACTCGCACGTACTCAGGTTTCACAAGGGGGTAGGGGCGTGGTTCTGTAATGTCAGTGGCTGTTTCGCGGCCGAAACAGCTCGCGAAACTCACTGAACAGTGTTCAGGCCGCCTCTATGGTAATCGAACAGATTACCGTAAGCGAATATGCCAGGGTCTCTGGCCCAAGGCCTTCAGCACGGCCGAACTAGTAAAGAGCGCGGCTAAGCAGAAGCCAGTGTAGAACCACTTTCAGCGACCCAGTCGCCCAATCCATAGCTCCATGGCTCCTCCCTCTCTCTCTCTCTCTCTCTCTATTTTCTCTGATCGGTCTTGTGCCCTCTGCTCTTCTCGATCGGTGTCTTCATTAGCTACCCCAGAGGACGAGCCGTCCCTTCTCTCGCAGGACAGCGGCCCGTGGCTGCGCGCCAACGTCTCCGCGCGGGACCCCTCGAGCGCGGCCGGCCGGGTGGGGGCCAACACAGCGCCTTATTGCTCGGAGGAGGGCTGGGCGGTGCCTCGGCGGCACTCCCCCCCGAACTGCCCCCGGCCTCCCTCCGGCCTCCCTCCCTTCCCAGACCCCCTCGCGTCGCGAAGAACTCGCGCCAGGAGGTTTCTCGCTATTCTCGGCTTCAATGGGCCCTCACCAAGCCTCGGGATCGTCGAACGAAATTGGCGATCTTTTTCCTGCGATTTGCAGCCTCCAGGGGCCATCGTCGGACCTCGGGGCTGTCGAAAAACGACTCAGGACGAGAAAGCGGTCTCCGGAAAAGGGTCCACATTTCTGAGGGTCACGTCATGGAAACATCATGACGTCGGGGGTCTGGGTCCATCTCTTCCCTCCTTCCGTCACCATCCGCATCCCTGCTCCTCCTCCTCCTCCTCCTCTTCTTCCTCCTTCTCCCTCCTCCACCCAGCCCTCCCTCTCCTCTTCCCCTCTTTGTCCTCCGATTCCTCCTCCTCCTCCTCTTCTTCCTCCTTCCCAACCCCATTCAGTTCAATTCAAGTCAGTTCAGTGCACCCCGAGTGAGGCGTCATTGGTGCCGAACATCCCGGGGGCAGATTTGCTCCCCAAGCGGGGGGAGGGGTCCGGCAGGTTCACTTCGCGCTGACCCTGGTCCTCGAATACCATGCCTCGCAAGTGCGAGGCATGTATTGGAGGGTTCGAGGATCCGGCGCCCACCGTGTCATGCCTCCACTGACCGACGTGCTCCGAGAGCCGCACTCGTCTACGAGCGTTCCCACGACCCTGAACAACCCTGCGACTCTTCTGAAGCCTCCGGCTCTCAAGAAGAAGAAGAAGAAGAAGGCGAAGAAGAAAAAAAATAAACGCCATACACATACACTTTTGGCGCTCCACGCGGAGTTCTTGGATCCGCGCCTGGGCCCCCCGGCGGCGCCTCCAGCGCCGCCCCTGGCGCGCTCCGCGCGCCAGGGAGGGGGGTACGGCGCGGATCCAAGAAATCCGCGCGGAGCGCCGACAGTTTATGTGTATGGCGTTTCTTCTTCCCCTACTCTCCTCGTCCTCCGTCCCCTCTTCCCCTCGTCGTGCGGAGGGGCCGCCCATCTGCCTCCACCGGCACTCCTGCGAGCGGAGCCCCAGCCAAGCGGGCGCTCCCCCGTCCGCACCCCCGACATCGGTCCGCGCGAGCCGATCTTCCCCGACCCCCCCCCCCCCCCGGCCTTCGCGGGAAGCGGGAAGGCTGGAGGCAGGCGGACTGAAGACAAGCACATCGGCGGGCTCGCCAGCGGGAGCCCAGCGGAAGTTCGGCGGGAGCAAAAGAGAAGGCCTTCCCGAGCACCCGAGTTCCGGTCCTCTGGCGGCGCCATGTTTTTTTTTTTTGATCTGGGTGTGGCTCTTGATAATTCGGCCCGCGGAGTTCCGGGGCCCCAGGACCATCAACGGGCTGATAAGCTCGGGGGCGACCAAGAGGGGGGTGATGACTGGGGGGGGGATATCATGGCGTGGGCCATGATATCTCCCCAGATTTCATGGCGCCTCTGCTTAGTTCCTTGCGTCCCCAGCCCCCCTTTGGGCCGCGCACATGCCACTGGCCACGATTTGCGCCCCCCCCTCTTGGACGCCCCCCTCTTGGCCGCCCCGGATCAAATCCTTCCGGGGACGGGGGGCTGGAGCTTCTGGGTCACGCGGACTGGAAGCATCAATCCCTCGGAGGTCTGAGGAGGTGTCACCAGCAGTGGTCATGTCACTGTTCACCACCGTTCCTGGCCAGGGACATCCTGGGCCGTAGAAGTCTTAGGACGGTGTATCGACTCTCCTGGCCTCTGCTCGGTGGGCTAGACCATGCACCAAGGCCCAGGCTGGCCTTGGCTACTCCAGACAATCACTTCACCACCCACCAAACCACCCCAACCCGACCCGAAGGCCCCAACTGGCCCTCTATTCCAGTGGGGGGAGCGGTCGGGGAACATTGGAAAACACCCCCCCCCTGGTGGGCTCGAGTGGTCCTGTAGGTAGTCAGATAAGCACCTTCCCCGTGCCACTCCGCCCGATGGCCGGCTCTACTCCCTCAAGCTGCGCGGAACCCACACCCTGGCTCAGGAAGGCAATTATCGGGTTGGCAGGATGGGGTTGGGAGACGTGGCCGAAGGTACCGTTCCTTGCATCTGGATGCTATTGCTCATATCCTTCACCTTCCACCCCATCCTCCCAACACGATAATTGTTCTCCTCGCTGGCAAGTTCCCTCCCCCCGCCCAGCGCCAGATATATTCAGTCTACGCCACCGCGCGATCCATGGCCCACCCCGCCCATGCTTATCGTCGAGCAACTGAGAGGCATGGCTGTGGTTCATTATAACTAGGTGTTTTCTGCATGTGTCAGCGCTGGCGCACCCAGGGCTTCGGGGCATGGCCGTGCGGCCGTGGGCCAGGAAGGGCCACTAGAGACGCAGGCACGAAACGTCGTCGCTTCCCCGGGAAAAGCTGGGGGAAGATGTTGGAACTGGGGGGGAGACGACACTCCGCAGAACATGTGGACAAGCATAGGGGGATCCTGGGCTGTGAGCCTGTTGCGGAGGCCTTACGGCTGGTGCCGCCGACCCTGCAGACGGAGACGACGAGCAGGACAAGGACGATGAGGAGCAGGAGGCGAAGGACGTCAGGGAGCAGGAAGGAGGAGGAGGAGGAGGAGGAGGAGGAGGAGGAGGAGGAGGAGGTGAAGGGAGGAGGAGGGAGGAGGAGGGATGAGGAGAGAGGAGGAGGAAGGAGGAGGAAGGAGTAGGAGGAGGAGGAGGGAGATGAGGGAGGAAGGAGGAGTAGGAGAGGGAGGAGGAGGAGGAGGAGGGAGGAGGGAGGACAAGAGGAGGAGAGAGGAGGAATAGGAGGAGGGAGGGAGGAAGAGAGGAGAGAGAGAGAGGAGAGAGGAGGAAGGAGGAGGGGTGGCGGAGGAGGAAGGAGGAGGGAGGAGGAGGAGGAGAGGGGGGGGGGGAAATGCACAGGAGCAGGACCTGGGGATCCGGGGGTCGGAGCCACCGGGTCTGCCGGGCTCCTCGCCCCTGGGCGGCGCGTTCTCGGGGGCGGGACCGCGGCGCCAGCCGGGGCTCCCTCAGGAAGGAAAAGATGAGCACACGGAGACACAATGAGTCGTCGACCCCCAGGAAGATGTGCGAGACTATGGGAAGTGTGTTGGTGGGGGGGAAGACAGAAGCCCAGAAGATCTGGGAAAATATGGGGCATCCTGTGATTTGTGTCCGCTCATTTGTGTGTCCCAGGGCCCCTTCACCCCCTCCCACCGCGCCCCCCCCCTCGCACCCAAGGACGACCGCGGGGCAGGAAGGGCGGCAGAGGAGAGGAGCGGGTGGGGTTGTACGTCGGGCCTGCCCCTCTGCAGGAAGAGGAGGAGGAGCGTGCAAGAGTGGTCAACAACATGGTCCGGGGACGGTGCTGCGACTGCTGTCGGAGAGTCGTTGTTTTGAGCGTTATTCTGGCACTTTTTTTGATATTTGGGGGATTCTAGTTCGTGTTTCACTCTGCTGCGCCCCCCCTTTTCCTCCCCCTTCCCTGGTTAATTCAAGCTTCGCGCGGCCCGCTTAGCTTCGACCGGAAGAGGTGCGCTCTCGACCCGCGAATCAAAACAAAACAAATAGTTCGTGTTTCACTCCCTGCCACGCTCCGCCTTTTTAGGAGCACCTGCCCGGCCGAAGGGCAGAGGGTGGAGGGGCGTGCGGGCGTGGGGGGGCTCCCGGGGGGGCCGGGCCGTGCCGCTCCAGCGGTGGCTCGGCCCTCCGGCGGGCTCCAGTGGTGGGTGCCTCGGGTGGTTCATTCCGTTGCACGGAGTCTGTAGTAGGGCTCTGTCGTTGGCTGTCAGTCATTGCTCTGCTGGTAGGGGGCCACAGGCGAACCCTACCCCTACCCCCCACGAGCTCTGAGGGGGGAGGGTGGGGGTAGGCTTCGCCTGTGGCCCCCTACAAGTGGGTGCCTCGGGTGGCTACTTCCGTTTCACGGAGTCTGCAGGGCTCAGCCGTCGGCTGTCAGTCATTGCTCTGCTGGGGGCGGGCCGTGCCACCAGCTATCTTTTTCCCCGCCGCGCTGGGGGCGAGAGCTCCCCCCCGGCCCCTGCCCGGGGGCTCTCGGCGCGGCGGCCGCGGGACGCCCGCGCGCGGAGGCGGGGCCCCGCCCCGGGGGGCGCCCCGCTGGGGCCCGGGGCCCCCCGGGGCCGGCGCGGGCGCTCCCTGCACGAACGGGATGGGCATGGAAAGGAGGGGTACAATGCCCAGCAGCAGTTCCCCGTCATTTTGAACAGGACTCGCTGTCCGCGCCGCCGCGGCCTGTGTCCACTTGAGACAGAAGGTCGCCTGCCCCACAGCGGCCGCTGTTGGTTTGGGACAGCATTTGTTGTTGGGCATTGTACCCGTTTTTTCCGTACCCATTTCGGGCGTCCAAACACTCCCTCGCACCCAGAGGGAGGACTCGAGGAGCGGGAGATGGCAAGCGGGGGGCCTCCCCAGCAGAGATGGGGCTCCGACGGCACGTGTGCGGGTGACCTTTCGCCTGAGTGACCTGTTGGTGGGGCCTCCCAGGGGCCCAGAGATCCGATGTCGTGATTTTCTCAATCCGGGCCCCCTGGAAGTCTCGACCCATTCCCCAGAACCAGTTTTGCATCCTGAGTCCTTGCCGAAAAATGCAAAAAAACTCCTTCGTGATTTTATCAATGCGTTGGATTTCTGTGGAGGGTTTCGACGGCACGCAAGGGTGGCCTTTCCCCTGAGTGACCTTTTGGTGCGGGCCCCCCCGATCGCCGCATGCGATGCGGTGGCGGCGGCCTGTGCGCCCGGTGGTGTCCCCACTGGGCCCCTCCCCCCCCCTTGGCCGCGCACTGACGGCTCACTCTTGCCTAGGGTCAAGTCGGGCCTGTCCCTCTACAGGAGGAATATTCCAAAGTAGTCAAAACATAGTCTGGGGACGATTCGTGGATAAATTTTGGACATGTTTGGGCACTTTTGCGGTATATTTCTTCGTAATACTTTTTTTTCCTCCGAAATCCGCATGTCGGCGACATGCCCGACCTAAGCCTAGGGTCGCTCTCGCGCGCAGCCGAGGGTTCTTTGTAGGTGAGCAGGGAGGGGAGCGGGAGGACCCCAGCCCCCCGACGTCGTGAGCTCGTCACGACGCGGACTCCCAAGAGGCCCCAAAAGAGGCCCAGGCCCATCTCCCGGGGCCGACTCCTCCTCCCTAGCGTTTTTTTTGTTGTGTGTGTGTTGTTATTTGTTTGTTTATGTATGTATTTCTTTATTTGTGTGTTTGTTTGTTTGTTTGTTTGTTTGTTTGTTTGTTTTGTTTGTTTGTTTGTTAGTTTGTTTGTTAGTGTGTGTGCGTGTTTGTTTGTTTGTTTGCTTGTTAGTGTGTGTGTGTGTTGTTGATGTTGATGTTGTTGTTGTTGTTGTTGTTGTTGTTGTTGTTGTTGTTGTTGTTGCTGTTGTGTGTGTGTGTGTGTTGGTGGTGGTGGTGGTGGTGGTGTTGTACTTGTTGTTGCGGTTGTTGGTGTTTGTGTGTTGTTGTTGTTGGTGGTGTCGTTGTTGTTGTTGCTGCTGTTGTTGTTGCTGTTGTTGGGATTGTTGTTGTTGTTGCTGCTGTTGATGATGTTGTTGTTGTTGTTGTTGCTGTTGCTGTTGTTGTTGTTGCTGCTGATGTTGTTGGTGTTGTTGCTGCGGTTGTTGTTGTTGTTGGTGTTGTTGGTGTTGTTGTTGTTGTTGTTGGTGTTGTTGTTGTTGTTGCTGATGTTGTTGTTGTTGTTGTTGTTGGTGTTGTTGTTGTTGGTGTTGTTGTTGTTGTTGTTGTTGTTGGTGTTGTTGTTGTTGTTGTTGTTGTTGTTGTTGTTGTTGTTGTTGTTTGTTACATATGTATAACTATTAACGGACCCTGGGCCCTGTGAGGGCCCCCAGAGGCCGTTCGGCAATTGCCAACAGAGTCTCGCGCCGCTTCTTCGTGTTACCACGCGGGGGGGTCTGGGGAAAGAGGGAGGGAGGGAGTGAGGGGGAGGGAGGGGGGAAGGATCAAGCTGGGTGCGCTCGCGTCATATCTGACGTCCTACCCCTCCCTTCCATCCCTTACCATGGCGTAGATCCCCTCCCTATTCGCACAGTCTGATATCTTACCGTGGCATAGCATCACATGGCATAGCATGGCGTTGAAGATCAACGCGTAGCTTGGCATAGCGTGGCGTGGCGACGCCCCAAAGGGGAGGATCTTCTGCGGCCCAAAGAATCAACGAATCGACACCGAATGGGTAATCACTTACGACGGTGTTTGTCGGGGGGCCATTTTCTAGATTTTGGGGCTTATTTGGAAGGACCGAAAACCACGCCGTGGCATGGCACTGGAAATGATGACGCCAGCGCTGCAGCGGGAGCACGATTCGGAACGAGCGGAAGCGCAGAAATGAGGCCAGCGTTGCAGCGGGAGCACGGTTGGGAACGAGCAGAAGCGCGGAAACGAGGCCAGCGCTGCAGCGGGAGCACGTTTCGGAATGAGCGGAAGCCCGAAAATGAGGCCACCTCCTCAGCGGGAACCGCATTTCGGGAAAAACCCGAGCGAAAACCCATTTCCCGGGAATCATGTGTAAAAAGCCGTGCGCGGCGGGGGGGCCGAGTATCTTTCGGACGTCGTCAGGGGAGAGAGGAGAGTAGTATTCATGTTGTGTAGTTGTGGAGGGAGGGAGGGAGAGAGGATGGACAGGAGGGACCCTGAGATCTGACGTTGCGAAGAAATCACGCCCGGAACCCTAGACCCCACCTTTCTGAGTCATTTTTCGAGCCAGATCCATCCGTGAGGGTCCCGGGGACCGAAAAAACATGCGAAAACGCCCGTCTTGAAAACAACAACAACGCCCAGATCTCAAGGGAGGCAAGAGGGAGGAGGGATGGAGGGAGGAGGGAGGAAGGGGTGGAGGGCGCGTTTTTTGTTTGTTTTATCGCGCGAGGGGGTCTGGGAATAGAGAGGGAGGGAGGGATGGAAGGACGGATAGAGGGAGGGGGGAAGGAGGGAGGGAGGGAGGGAGGGAGGGGCGGAGGGAGAGGAGGGATGGAGGAGGAGGGAAGGAGGGAAGGCAGGAAGGGAATGGACGGAGGAGGGAAGTTGAAGGAGGGAGGGAGGGACGGAAGATGGATGGATGGATGAGGGATGGGAGGGAGGGAGAATGGGCTGCGATTGAGGGAAGGATTGGAGGGAGGGACGGATTGGAGGATGGAGGGATTGGAGGAGGGGGTTCAGGAGGTCTCGGAGGGTGCGCGGGGTGCGGAGAGGGCCTCCCAGGCCGACTGGGCGGTGAGGACGTCCTCCGGGTGGGAGACGCAACGCGGCCTGCAGGTCAGCGGGGAGGGGCCTCTCCTCCCTCGTCCTCATCCTCCTCCCTCTTCCTCCTCCTCC